AAAAAAAAAAAAAGACTAATATGATATTGGCATTATGGTTTTTTACTTTGATTGCTGTTTTCCTATTACAATATTTGACTCAATATAATAAAATAATAATATAATAAATGTATAGAGGGTATTATACTTTAATATGTACAGTATCTTACCTGAAACTAATAGAAAGAGTTACTCAGTTTTTACATTCAGAGAATTAACTGTAAAAGGTCATATAGCTAATGAGGCAAAGGTTAGAATCTAGTTTCCTTAACTCTTTCCAGAGAGATAACAAAATCAGGAGCACGGAATTTGTAATAATTAACAAACTTAAATTCCATGAAATTATGTATTTGTGTATTCATTATAGAACTTGAAATCATAGTCATTGTTTCATTATGTATATCAATGTCTGTAGCATCAAGCATTTCACCAGTGGGAATATCAGAGTGGCTTGACCAGAAATTAACAAAAAGTGATCGACCAGAGCTAACAGGTGCCAAAACGGTGGTATCTGGTGGTAAGTGGAATATTACTTTTAAAAGTTGATGTAAACTTAATTTTTTTTTTTTGTTAAATGATAGCTGTGTACATTAATGTAATTATGGGGTACAGTAACTTAATTTTTTTAAAGAACAAAGATTTGTATTTATTTTAGAGGAGTGCAGATGTTTTTCAAATAAAACAAGTTGGGAGGTTGCAAATACCATTTCCATTTGCCCAAATAGGAAAATAAAATTACGAGTATAATACACCATTTGGGTTTTCTGCTGCATGTCTGGTCCCTGACACCAGGGGGAGCATAGTATAAATCTCACGTGCATAGCTTTGCCCGCTGGTGTTGTCTCATTGATGGACTTTCATGTTATGCTATAGAGTATGGTTGGCTTCTGAATTATAGAAAGAACTGGTTGGAATCTCAGGGACATTTTGTGTATAATTTCCACCCTTTATTCTGCTTTGAAGGATTTCCATAGTTGTCAAGGTCTCTATAGATACAACTTTGAACGTTTTTTCACATTTAATATCAAAACTATTAATATTACATAAGGCATGTTTCCTTTTGTATATTATGCTCCTTATTAAAAAATAAGTAAAATGCCTTTTGTAGCCTATTGACTTTTTGAAAAAATAAAGACTGCTCATGATTTAAAAATCTTTCCAAAGGCAGTGCCTGTGGCGCCAGCCCCATATACTGGAGATGGTGGGTTCAAACCTGGCCCCGGCCAAAAACTGCAAAAATAAATAAATAAATAAAACAAAATGAGCTTTCACACAGCAAGTAGCATTGAGAAGAAATAATTTATTATTTTGAAAAAATATATCTGATTCATTCTAAGAAATTTTTTTTGGTTATCTGTTCTATAACAGGCCTGTTGCACAGTGCTAGAGGAACAAAAATGAAAAGGCAGAATGTTTTTTGTTTTTTAAATATAGTTTAAGGTCAGTTATTTTATTTTATTGCAGTTTTTGGCCAGGGCTGAGTTTGAACCTGCCACCTCCGACATATGGGGCTGGCACCCTACTCCTTGAACCACAGGCGCAGCCCCAAGGCAGCCTGTTCTTAATCTCAAAGAGTTTAAGAACATTAAACCGTCCATTCAAATAATAACTTTGTTTGGTCATTCAGAGAATATATTTTGAGTACCTCCTCCTGTCTGTAGAGATTTGCAGTATTTTTGGCCAGGACCATGTTTGAACCTACCACCTCTCGGGTGGTATGGGGCCGGTGCCCTACTCCTTTGAGCCACAGGCTCTGCCCTGTCTGTAGATTTTGCTAAATACAGGCTCTGCCCTGTCTATAGTTTTGCATGGTCATTAATAGCAGTGACCATGATAGATGTGGATCCTGCAATTAAAGATTTTTTATCCTAGTGGGGAAATCTGATATTAAAGATTAATATACCATTAGTTAATAGTTCAGTAACTATAGTAGAGTTGACTGATTTGTAGGAGAAGTTGAGAAGTATACTAGAAGTCCGAAGTCTTATAGAAGAGGTGGCATGCTTAACATGGCAGTTATGCACGTAGGAAAATTTACTCAAGTATACAGAATAGCAAAATTTTTATAGAATGGAGTTTGTACCTGCTTAATTTTTTTTTATCTTTTTAAATGAGGTCGGGGTTTGAAGAGTGGAGAGAACTTCAAGTTGTTATATGATTTGGCAGATCAGTTGCATGCAGCAGGTAAAGTTCTTTTCCTTGGTAGAAAAATGTTTACTTTTCTTCAGAAATATTTTTTCTTCATTGTTTCATTTATGTATAAGTCGCTCCAGAGCACAGATTATTTTGCCTTCTATGGTTGTCAGCGTCTCTCTCTGAAACAGTTTTTCTTAAGCCTCTAAGTAAATGGCACAGCATTCAGTGATGATGGGGTTTCCTAGTACTTTTAAGGTATCTACATGGCACTCTTATATTTGCCAAATCTTAGGAGTTCTTTTGTTTTTGTTTTTTGTTTTTCCTCATTTTAGAAATAATGAAATGTCAGCTTTAGTACTTTAGATTCAGGAATAATCTGGTTTTTCTTCTTTGGTGGTCTGATATAAATCTCTCATACAAATAGAAACACATTTATAACTATTTTAAGGCTGGTCCGAGTGCAGTGGTGTTTACAACTAATTAATCACAAGTAGTTACAGACTCCTTTGTTCCTTCTCTACTCCCACTGCTTCATTTGACTAGTCTTAAATATATTAAAAAATTTTTTTTAAAGTATTTCAAAATTATAGTTAACTATATATAGGGAAGATTGAACCTATTATTATTGTTTTTTAATTTGAGGTTATTGTAAGGATACAAACAACCAGTTCACAATTTTTGAATTTGTTAGGTAAAATCTGTCTTGTAGTTGTGTCCAGTACCTCAAAAGGTGTGCCATACACCCTTACTTTGTGCCCATTATGTGGGAGCACACCAGTCCCCCAATTGAACCTGTTATTAAAAGTGCATTGGTGTCACCTGCTTCTGTGTACCCTCAATGAATCCCCAACAATAAAAAAAAAATGCAAATAAAAAAGGGCATTGGTAAGAATGAAATGTTTTTTGAAAAAAAAAAAAAAAGAAGAAGAATTTGAGACAATTAATTGGAAAAATAATACCTTACCTATAGAAGAGCAAAGATGAGAATTACATCTGACCTGTCTTCAAAAGCCATGTAAGCAAAAAGGGAGCAAAATGTTTAAAGTGTTGAGAGAAAACACTTCCAGCCTTGCATTTTATACCCTGTGAAATTATCCTTTAAAAGTGAAAGAGAAATAAAGACTTTTTCAGACAAAGAAAAATTAAGGGAATTGGTTGTAGGCTAATCTTACATGAATATTAACTCCATTTAGAGAGAAAGAAATAATCAGGTCAAGTACTGATGTACATAAAGTTAGGAAGAGCTTGGAAAGAAGGAATAAGTGAAGGTAAAATAAGTTTTATTTTTCTTATTCTTAATTTATCTAACAATAATAGCAACCATGTATTCAACTACATATACTCATGTGTATATATTATATTTTATGTATATGTAAAATGAATGACAGCAATAGTATCAAGAATGGGAGGTAGAAATTAGGATTATTTTGTTACTATATAGCACTGTACCAGTCATGAAGTGGTACAGTGTTTGAAAGTGGACTTGGATTAGTTGTAAATATATATTGCAGACTGTAGGACAACCACCAAAAAAAAAAAAAAAACCCAAAAAAGTAAAAAAAAGAAGTACAACTGATAGTTAAGAAAAGAGAGAAAATAGAATCATATAAAATGCTCAGTTGGAAGACAAAAATAGGAACAAACAATAAGGACAACGAATAGAAAACAGTGAGGAGGGGGAGAGAGGAGGGTAATTAGCAGGATCTCAGCTAATCGTGCACAGTGTGAGGGTGTTGACACCCCCTTGGTGAAGGGCTCAATTACAACATGAGCTTTATTTACCTTAGAAAGGTAAACGATATAACCTAATCATTTGTACCCTCATTAATCTGAAATTTAAAGAAAACAAATAGAAGGTTTAGAGATGGTTTGTTATATTATGTGAAGAACTGTTTTTACTGAACTGGTACTCAGGAAAAAGAAAAACCTGACAAACATAGTAGCTATTAACCAACTGTGTCAGTCATTACTAGGAATGTCAGTGGTCTGAATGCACCCGTTAAGAGAGATTGGCAGGCCAGGTGCGGTGGCTCACGCTTGTAATCTCAGCACTCTATGAGGCTGAGGTGGGTAGATTGCTTGAGCTCACAGGTCTGAGACCAGCCTGAGCCAGAGCAAGACCTTGTCTCTAAAAATAGCTGGGAATTGTGGCGGGTGCCTGTAGTCGTAGCTACTTGGGAGGCTGAGGCAAGAGAATCACTTAAGCCCATAAGTTTGAGATTACTGTGAGCTGTGACAATATGACACTCTACGAAGTGAGTGGTGACAGAGTGAGACAAAAATAGAGAGAGATTTGGCAGAAGGGGTGAGAAAACAAGACCCAATTATACATTGTCTACAAGAAACCCACTATAAATATAAAAGCTTCATATAGATTAAAAGTAAATGGGTAGAGAGAGATACACCGTGCTAACACTAAACAAAAGAAAGCAGGAGTAGCTATGTTAATTTCAGACAGTGACAACATAAGTTTTATTAAGTTAATAAAACTTCAGTTTTAATAAACTTAAAGATGTAAAACTAAGTTTCAGTAAAACTTAATGTAAGTCAAGTTTTGCTGATATTGGTCTCTGTGTGCCAGGAATCAAAGGGTAAGGGTCCAGGAACTGAAGAGGAATGAGAGGTGGGTGCAGGTTAGGAGTACACAGCAGGTGGGATCAGTGTATGGATTATGAAGAGCAACCGTTCTGAATGTGGGGCTTCTTGTAATTACTGACACAGTGAAGAGCAAGATGTGATTAGTCCTGGTGGACTCAAGATAGAAGGTAGTGGTGAGGCTACAGGTGTTCAGAGGCAGCAAGTTGTATTGTCGTTGGTTCCGTCTTGTCCCCTCTAGCTGGAGATGAGGAGGCCTAAGGCTCATTCTTGACTCCTGCTGGGGAAAAGGTGCTTTTATTTCCAAGCAGAGGGCTCTTTGTTAACTTCTACTGAATGAGGATAGAAAAATCAGTAAATTTTAACTTATTTATTATTTAGATAGCAAATATTGGTTAAGCTTTTATCTTGTTATATGTAACTCTTTTTATTGTCTGGTCATGAGAGTTAATAATACCTTTCTTTAAAAGTTGTGAAGTTATTACATGAAAGAGCACTATATAATGACGTTCTAAACAGATTGTCAGGTAGGTTTTATGAATGCCTTTTTGATAAAGCAAGTAGAAGAGTTCAGCCCATTTTAAAATAAGAAATATTTGAGTGTAATAGAAATTACTTCTTAAAGCTTTATGTATAAAGCGCACTGGGACTTAGTATTTAGATTCTCAACCAGTGACTTAATTTCTTAAAAAGTCTTTCTTAAACAAATACATTTTTGTTTAGAGCCAGGGTCTTGCCTTGTTGTCCAGGCTGGACTGTGGAGGCATGATTATAGTTTACTGCAGCCTTGAACCCTTGGCCTCAAGCAGTTCTGCCTCAGCCTTCTGAATAGGTAGGACTATAAGCATGCACCAATCACATCCAGATAATTAAAAATATATATTTTGGAGACACAGGATCTCACCATCTTGCTGGTCTCAAACTCCTGGTCTCAAATGATCTCTCACTTCAGCCTCCCAAAGACCTGGGATTACAGGCATGAACCACTGAACCCAGCCTTATAAAGTAAATTTCCGACTGTATTATTTTACTGTTTTCATCCATAGTTATTAGTGAATATCCCACCAAACTGAATAATAAAGCTTGAAAAAAATGACAAATTTTTTTCTTCTTAGTTGGTGCTTCCCGGGCTGCTGTTGATGCTGGCTTTGTTCCCAATGATATGCAAGTTGGACAGACAGGAAAAATAGTAGCACCAGTAAGTATTGCTATAAAATATGCCGTGCAAAATTCTATGTGATAAGCACAGTGTGTATTTGCTGAGCAGTAATCCCAGTGATTTATATCTTACTCAGTTTTCCTGAGCCATTACCAAGGTGAACATGTCCTCAAAACGTCTGTGGAGTCCTTAGTCTTCTTAAAATGCTTAGCAGTTCTTAAATCCAGCTTATTTTTCAGGTATTTTAAAGCAGTGGAACACTTTAACTGTGGAACACAGCATCAAATGTAAAACTTACAAAAGTAGCTTTTTATTATTGTTCATTTTCTAAGTTCATACTGATAACATTTATTTGCTGGAAAGACCTTAAGAGTATAAAATCAATCAGTAAGAACAATGAGTCTATTTTAATAAACACAGATTTTTGAAATTGGAAATGACAGTCTTCTATCTGCCTGAATACCTAGTTTATTTCTGTATTTTGTCTAGTAGCATAAATTTCAGAAAATGCTGATCCATTTAGATAAGTGATACTAGACTGTTCTTTAGTTAAACCTATCTAAAACTTAGAAGAGCAGGAAATTTTGTTTCAGTGTTGAGTCACTAAAAATTTCTAATGACTGTCCACATTTCTTAAGTGACATAAGATTTTGGGAATAGGATTTTCAGCCAGTTTGAACCTGTTATTATATGGAGAAAAATGTGTTTTTCATGTATTTCAAAACAAAATGTGTTTTTTGTTTCAAAACAATATTAAGTCCATTAAGAAGAAAATTTTGTGTGTCAGTGTTCTATTTTATAAGATGTTCGCTAATTTTGAAATACTGTATTAGTTTTTGTTGTTGTTTGTGGGCAAAGTTTCAATCTTCCACCCTGGGTAGGGTGCCATGGCATAGCTCACAGCAACTTCAAACTCTTGTGCTTAAGCAATTTTCTTGCCTCAGCCTCTCTTAAGTAGCTGGCACAACAGGCATCTGCCACAACACCTGGATAGTTTTTCTATTTTTAGAAGAGACAGGGTCTCGCTCTTGCTCAGGCTGGTTTTGAACTCCTGAGCTCAGGCAGTCCACCTGCCTCAGGCCTCCCAGAGTGCTAGGATTACAGGCGTGAGCAAACTCACCTGGCCTGTAGTCAAATTTTTAAGGCTTGTCTTTAAAATTTATTTTGAAGTATTTATTCAAGGCTTTTGCCCATTTAAAACTTGGGTTGTCCTTCTATTGTCTCTTTGTAGGAGTTCTTTATATATCCTCCATACATTTTTCTTTGTCAGCTAAGAACTGTATTTTTTCCCATGCTAGGTCTTCTCTATTCATTTTCTTTGAATGAACAGAAACTTGAAATTTTAATAAAGTCCAGTGTATCTGTCATTCTTTTTATGAGTGATACTTCTTGTTATTTAGCTTATTTGAAGTTAAATGAGAAGATCTCAAAACTTAAAATAGGTATTAAAACTGTTTATAAATTAGGGCACAGTACCATTTGACCAGTTTGCTTGTCAGACCACATTAATCAGGCTGTGAGAGTAAATTTATTGAGCAGATGAGCTTGAGCCTTCTGTGGCATTTAATTAGGTGTGGAGTGCACATGCACGCACATACATGTTTGTTTTAAAGAGATGGAGTCTTGCTGTGTTGCTGGAGTTGGAGCACAGTGCTATTCACAGGCATGGACATAGCACACTGGGGTCTTAAACTCCTGGCCTCAAGGGATCCTTCTTCCTCAGCCTCCTGAGTGGCTGTAGTTCCATACCTGGCCAGTGCACATATTTTTTGTGTGTGTATGGAAATCTTAGTTGTCCAGCTGGAACTACAGCCACCATCCCTGGCCAGTACTCGTATTTTTTTTTTGTGTGTGGAAATCTTAGTTGTCCAATTTTATATGAGTGGACACATGCAGGCTTGAATTCATAAAAGATCAGCAGACTTACAAAATAATCAAAATACTGCTATAAGAAATTGAGAGATGTACTCTGAAATGGCAGATAGGCTTATTTATTTTGACTAAAGAGGAAACTAGTTATTAAATAGAATAGCAGAATAGCAGGGAGTGACTGGTGGCATCCTCTCCTATTCATTTCTTATATTGGAAATAAATGTCATGCAACAGCTTTATTCAGCATTAGTCTTATGAATATAGAACTGTTGAAGTTTTTTCATGAGGAAATTAAATACATTAAATGCTTCAAAGACTTTCACACAAGCTATCTAGTCCCCCTCCATTGAGAATTCTTATTCATTAATTCAGGGGTTAGGCATGGATGTGTATATATGTATGTATTTGTGCGTGTGTGTGTGTATTTTTTTAAGATTCTAAAACTTTAGAAACAGTCTGAAATTTATAGAAAACTCAGTACAGAACGAACATCTTTATTTTTGTAGACTATTTGAGAATAAGTTGCTGAGATGATGACTCATCATCCCCAAATATGTCATATAGGACATTCTTCTAATAACCACAATATAACTTTTAAAATCAGGACATTAACATTGATACAGAATATCATTTAATTGTCACACTCCATTCAGGTTTTTTTCTGTTATGCCAATAACCAAAAATACTGTCTAACCCTTTATAGGTAAAGTTTGGTGACCCCTTCTCTACTTCCTTTATGCCCTTACTGCATTTTCTGGTCTAGTAGTTTTGTCAGTTACTGGGAGAAGGTATTAAAAACTACGTGGGCTGGTTGTGGTGGCTTGTGCCTATAACCCTAGCACTTTGGGAGGCTGAGGTGGGAGGATCGCTTGAGACCAGGAGTTCAAGATCAGCCTGAGCAAGACCCCATCTCTACAAAAAATAGAAAAATCATGTGGGCAGTGTGGCACATGCCTATAGTGGCACATGCCTGTAGTGGCACATGCTAGTGGGAGCATGATCCCATGAATTTGACGTTGCGGTGAGCTATGAGGATGCCATTGCACTCCAGCCTGGGAAATAATGAGACCTGGTCTCAAACCACCACCACCACCCGCCAAAAAAGAACAATAACAACCAAAAAAAGACTGGATTTGTTTCTCACTCGAGTTTTATTAGTTTCTGCTTGATGTACAGTGACCACCCAAGGGACTGTAACAAACTAGTTACCATATGGAGGGGGTCAACATAAGGAACTAGTCTGCTGTACTGACAACGTGCGTGTGGTACATGGAGTCTGTGAAAATTAGGCCACCTTCAGGAGGTGGTTGGTGTAGGGAGGTGGTCAGCTGTAGAGGTTCTACTGTGTTTTGAAACCCTGTTATTGGGGACTCATTATTGTTGTTTTGTCTGCTTAATCAATTAATTTTTTATCCCTATCTAATATCCTTATTTATCTTTGGTAGTACTGGTTGTCCTGAAGGCCAGTTTGGTAACTGCTTGTATGGTATATCTTTTTCTATCCTTTTCTTTTCACTATCTCTTTTTACTTAAAATGTATTTCTTAAAGTAGCGTATAGTTGAGTATTATTTTTCAATACATTCTGATAAGATCTCTCTTTCTGTTTTTTTTTTTTTTTTTTGTGGTTTTTGGCCGGGGCTGGGTTTGAACCCACCACTTCTGGCGTATGAGGCTGGCGCCTTACTCCTTTGAGCCACGGGCACTGCCCAAGATCTCCTTTTTTATTAGAGCTTTTAGTTCATTTATATTTTTCTCTGACTGCTTTTAAGAATTTCTCTTGGCCAGGCACAGTGGCTCACACCTATAATCCTGGCACTCAGGGAGGCTGTGGAGGGAGGACCCTTAAGCTTAGGCATTCAAGGCCAGCCTCAGCAAGAGCAAGACTCCATCTTTACTAAAAATAGAAAAAAATGGCCAGGTTTGAACCTGTCTCCCTTGGTATATGGGGCCAGCATGCTGCCCGCTGAGCCACAGGCACTGCCCTTTCTGTGTGTTTTCTTAACTAGTAAGACTGCAGGTTTCTATCCAAAAATGCCTGATTTCTGATTCGCTTTTATCCCTGTGGAGAAGCTGTAAGTGCCCCAAGGGAAAAAGTGCAGGCGTGTGCTGCACTCATCTCAGCAGAATTCTACAGAATTGTGGCTTCTCAAATGCTGCCTGTCTAGGTTGATCTCCAGTGTATTTAAACAGTTGCTATCTGTATTTTAATCAGGTTTTATGGTTGTTCTGGGCAGGAGGATTAGTATGATACAGGCTACTCCTTCGGGCCATAAACAGGACTTCTGAGGCTCAGAAATGAGTGTATTACTTCACATGTGCTCCTACTGGTGCACAGTTGGATTATCATCTCCCCTAAATAATATCGTAATTAATGCTACTTAGTATTGCATTAGGTTTTTGGCAGCTGTGTTCCACTATTGGCAAGACTTAGACTTGTGGCCATCCAGAATTTCCGCCTCCCCCCACTTGAATTGCCTACTATTGAACTGCATCTCTTTTGTCTGGTAATAATGTAGTATTTCTTTGTTTTTAAAGATGAACACAGTATTTTAATTTATCTTTAATTTGGGTCTGTTTTCTCTACCACTGAAGCATCTTGAATATTTTACAGCCAGATTTAGTTTTCCATTCAATTCCCTTTCAACTTTATGTAATTATTTGAAAATCCTGTTTTGGTGTTCTCCTATTTCGTAATAGCTATGAGAAGTATTACCACTATTCTTTCTGATAAGTAATAAAAAGTTCCCTACTTCTTTAAGTAAGGGGAGACATAATGTCAAATTTTGTTTTCCTCAAAATAAGTTTTGACTTTTATGACCAGTTACTTGAGAAAATATATAACCCCAAAAGATTTTGTGAATTTAGTTATACTTTTAAGTGCCTTTTTTGCTGCCCATAATAATTTACTCATCCAGACGAAAGATTATAGAACAATTCCTACTATATTTATGGATTCCCACTCCCTGCAAAAATTCAGACCCAGTGATGAGAACCATTGGTCAATCCACAGCTTACCATTATAACAAAGACTTTACTCTTTTATTTTTTAATGGATTTTTGTTTGTAAATAATCTCAAGCTTATAAAAAGTTGAAAATTAATGCCAGACATAGTGGCATATGCCTGTGGTTCCAGTTACTTGGGAGGCTGAGGACAGGAGCATTGCT